AAAAAGCCGGAAGTGGCGCTGTGACTCAAGTGGTAGAGCACTAGCCTTGAGCTGAAGAGCTGAGGGACAGCGCCCAGGCCCAGAGTTCAGGCCCCACGACAGGACCCCCCAAAAAAAAAAAAAACCAAAAAACAAAAGCTGAGTGAAAATGTACTGATCTGTGTGAGAGAGAGAGAGAGAGTATGTGTGTGTGTGTGTGTGTGTGTGTGTGTGTGTGTGTGTGTGTGTGTGTGTTGTTACTGGGGCTTGAACTCAAGACTTTGAGCTTTTGCTTGGCTTTCACTCTCAAGGTTGGTGTTCTACCACTTGAACCACACCTTCATTTCTGGCTCTTTCCTAGTTAATTAGATAGATAAGAATATCACATACTTTTCTGCCTGAGATGGCCTTGAACTGAGATTTTCCCATCTTAGCCTCCTGGATATCTCTAGGATTATAGGTGTAAGCCACCAACACCTGGCCTAAATCGACCAAATCTTGTATCTTGCTTCAATCCAAGGATCTTTATTTGCTCCAGCAACAGAATCTTTTCTTAAAGAACACTATATGAAGGGATGCCAGTCTTCATTTACAATGTTCTTCAGACCTGTGGTTTATCAGAGGACTCTAGTTTGTCTACAGATTGCTATCAAAAACAAAAACAAAAACACCAGAAGATGAATGAAAATATTTCTGAACTACCATGTGTGTAAATGGGAAGGACCAGGCTGTTTCTTGGCAATCTTTAACAATTCATAGCAATTACATAATGACAATGGTAACAAAGTAATTAGCAGATTGCAGCATTGGGATATATACAGTGTGTTAGATTATAAACACATTGTAAAAATGTTGCCATGAGGTTGTGTGGTTTTCTTTATTAGACTGGCTTAAAAAAAAAAAGCTGTTGTAATTATTGGGCAGAGCTGTGGATGTGTAGGCAGATTCAGGATTACCTTTGTGCTCTGTGAAGAGGAAATGGGGTGCAGAGGAGCTTCCTTAATCACCCCTAGTTTAGCACAGTGTGATGACATGTAATCATGTCCTCTTGCTTCTGCGATCGGTTTAAGTGCTAAGGCAGAAGGGTGCTTTTCTTCTCCTTGAAACCCATCAAGGTTCTGGGAAATTATCCATTCAGCAACTATTTTAATATGCATGTTCCCCCAACAAGTATTTTGGTGAGTCATTAAAGTGAATGAATCCTAAACAGGGATAACATGATAGGCACAGGGCAAACAGCTCATTTCATAATTGTGATGAATGTTTCTGAAGCTCCCCTTGAAAAAGTGAAAAAGTTCGTATATTCATTTTTAACGTGTGTGTGTGTGTGCGCGCGCGCGCGTGCGTGAGCATGCTTCTTTGCTTTCTTTGTGCGTGTGTGTGTGTGTGTGTGTGTGTGTGATACTAGGGATTGAACTCAGAGCCACACTCTTACATGGCAAGTGCCACTTGATTCATGTTGCCCTCTTCCTTTCCCCTTTTTCTGATGTATTCTCATGCTGTAGTTTGCCCAGTCTGGCCTCTGACAATGATCCTTCTACCTTAGTTTTCCTTGGATTACAAATATGCTCCACTGCACCTGACTTATTTCTGAAATAGAATCTTGCTAACTTTATCTTGGTTTTTGCCTGGAATCTTGAGATCCCAATCTTCCTGCAGAAGCTGGGATTACAGACATACACCAAGATGTCCAGCGCTGTTTCGTTACTTTTATGTTGAACACCTCTGTAACATGGTGAGAGCACTGAACATTGGCTTCCACTATGAGGTGGGAATTTATATTGGAGATCTAGAGTGGAATTGTGGCTTGATCTAACTTATTTGCAATTCTAACATTAATTCCAGGTTTAGATTTGTTTCTGCTTTTTGTCTTTGGGCCAAATTTTCAAGGGTCTAAGACCTTGTTGAATCTTTGGAGTCTATTTAATTTATCCTTTTGTTTTTTTCCCCCTGGGGCCTCTTCAAGAATACTAAGATATTTAAAATAATAAGTTTTGAAAAGATATTTTAGTTTTCTTACCTAAGAAAAATATGAAGTATTTTCAAACTAAAGAATGGCTTTGGGAAGTGGTGCCGTGGCTCAAGCGGTAGAGCGCTCTCCTTGAGCTGAAGAGCTGAGGGACAGCGCCCAGGCCCAGAGTTCAAGCCCCACCACTGACAAAAAAAAAAAAAAAAAGAATGGCTTTGTATCGATTTTCTTACTTTTCCTCAAATAATAATAAAGGGATGAAATATTCTTGGAATTACACTATATTGACTCTGCTGAGAGCCCATTAGGAGAGCATTTCAGAGTAGAACTTAAACTGCTTTACAGGGTGTGCATGCTTGAGACCATTTCCTATCCTCATACTGCTGGGTGGTTTTTTTTTTTCTGATAATGAAGTAGTAACTATGAATTATAAAACATAAAACTTAGAAAAACTTGGAAAACTAGAAAAATAAAAATAAAAAACTCATTCTCACCATGCAGAAACATCTCAGTGTATTTATTGTGTGTGTGTGTGTGTGTGTGTGTGTGTGTGTGTGCACGTACATGCACACATTCATGTCATGAAATATCTGTCTGGTTTTGGTATCGGGGGTAATCCTAGCTTAATTGAATGAAAATACTGGAAAGTATTCTTTTTATCCTTTCTTCTTCTTTTTTTCCTTCTTCTGCTGGTACTGGAGATTGAACCCATACCTGGTATAGCATTAAGCTATATCCCTAGCCATTTAAAACATTTTCTTTTTAATCTGAGACAGTCTCACTAAATCGCCCAGTCTGTCCTTGAGTTTTAGTTTGCCCATGTCAGCATGCTAAGTGGCTGGATTATAGTGCATCATGCCTCCCTTATTCTCTCCTTTTAAATTTTCTGGAAGAGCTTGTGTAGAATTCAATTATGTCTTCCTTAATTATTTGGTACAATTTAACAAGTCTGATGATGGTTTCTTTGTGGGAATGTTTCCTAATCACTTGCTGAGTAAACTATGGATTTTGTGGTGTGTGTGTGTGTGTGTGTGTGTGTGTGTGTGTGTGTGTGTGTGTGTGTGTGTGTTAGAGAGAGAGAAGGAATTTATGAAATTAATTTAAGTTGGTCACTTTATTGGCAAAATTTTATTTACAAGATTACCTTATATTACCAATACTAATAAAACATGTAATAATGATGTTATCTGTTATTGCTGAAATCAGTAATTTGTGTCTTTTTTCCATTGAGATATTTGTTTCCCCCAGCATTATTCAGTTATCTTTCAAACATTCCGATCTGGTTATCTTTTCCTCTATAAAATGGATTCTAATTTATTTTTAATTCTTTTATATGGTCATGAGATATTTAGGATACTTAAACATATTTAGGGATTTTCCAGAAATATTTCTGTTGTTAATTTTTTAATTTAGGTTCATTTTGGTCAGATAACATATTTTATAAATGCTCTTAAATGTATTGAGACTTGATTTCTGACCCAGAACTTGATAAACATTCATATGAACTTAAAAGAAAAAGAGTGTGTTCTCTTGTTGGTGGTGTAGTATTCTAGAAGTGTGGAGTAGCATAATTTAGATGTTGTTCCAATCTTCTATGTCCTTACTGATTTTCTTGTGTGTGTGTTTTGTTAGTTTGTTTTGGTGATACTGAGGTTTGAACTTAGGACTTCAGGTTTGGTAGGCAAGAGCTTTACCACTTGCACCACACTCCTTGTTCTCTTTGCTTTTGCTGGATTATGTCTGGATTAGACTGTATCATGATTCTCCTATTTATACTTGCCATGCAGCCTGGATAATAAGCACATACCACCATGCCCAAATTTTTATTGGTTGAGATAGGGTCTTACAAATTTTTACCTGGCTGGCTCAAACCATGATCTTCCTGACCTCTGCCTTCTGAGTAGCAAGACTTTCTATTTACATATGTAAATAGACTTTCTGTTTACATATTTTACCAATAACTGGAGAAGAAATGTTGGAATTTCTGACTGTTGTTATAAATTTGTTTCTTGTAGTTCTCTTTGGCTTGTGTATTTTGAATCTTTTTCTGAGATACATTAATATTTAGGATTACTATGTTTTCCTGATCAGCTAAACTCTTTTTCATTCATTCTGAAATAAATTACATTATGAACAACTTCTTCTTCTTCTTCTTCTTCTTCTTCTTCTTCTTCTTCTTCTTCTTCTTCTTCTTCTTCTTCTTCTTCTTCTTCTTCTTCTTCTTCTTCTTCTTCTTCTTCTTCTTCTTCTCTTCTTCCTCTTCTTCCTCCTCCTCCTCCTCCTCCTCCTCCTCCCCCTCCTCCCCCTCCTCCCCCTCCTCCTCCTCCTCTCCCCTCCTCCTCCCCCCTCCTCTTCCTCCTCCTCATCCCCCCCCTCCTCCTTCCTTCTCCTTCTTTTTTCCTCTTCTTCCTCTTCCACCTTCCTCCACTTCTTTTCTGCTGGTACTGGGACTCAAGGCTAGCGCTCTACCACTTTAGCTACACCTCTACTTTTAGGTTGGCTTTTGGTGGTTAATTGGAGATAAGAGTCTCACAGAATTTACTACCTGGGTTGGCTTTGAAGCATAGTTCTCAGATCTCAGCCTCCTGAATAGTTCTCAGATCTCAGCTTCCTGAATAGCTAGGATTATAGGCATTTTCTTTTTCTGATAGTAATCACTCCAGCATTCTGTAATTTGTGCTAGCATTGCACCCCGTGCTTCTATTGAACCTGTTTATGTCTTCATATTTAAAAGTGCATATGGGTAGGCAGTGCATAGTTGGGTCTTCTCTTTTTAACCAATCTGACAGTCTTTGACTTTGAATTAGGCCTTTAAGGACCATTTATTTGTGTTTAATTCTACCCAATAGAGAGGGAAAAACTCCAAAGAAATGACCTAAATTGAACTGTAACTTATATAGGCAAAGCTACACGTGGAATTAAAATTCAGGCCAACATGCTTTCCCCATCCTTAAGAATACCAGTTTCAAAAGTCTTGATTTTTTTTAATGTTAATCTTCCTGTGGATCAAACCAGAATATTTATGCTCTCTTATTCTTTTTTTCTTTTCCAGCAAGTAACTGGCAGAAGTTTTGGTGATAAGGATTTTCGGACAGGATTAGAAAATGGAATCCTTCTTTGTGAGTAAGTATAACTTAGATTCTGTTTGGTGTTTTTTTTAACCTCAGAAACATCCTCAATACTGCTCACTTTGTACAACTTTTAGTATTTTAGTTTTAATTTATTCATCATTTAAATATACAACTGAAGAAAAGAAAACATCTACTGGGGTAGGCAGGAAAGACAAGTCAGAGTGACTTGGTACATAGCAGGGAGTGGTGGAGATTCTGGAAAATAGGGGAGGAGCATCTGGTAGGGGCTACTCCGTTTCTTTTATCTTTTGCTATATAGGAATTTGGGCCCAGGTAGTTTTGAGGATGTGGATCTAACTGAAGCAGATTTCCCCCCTTTAGAATCCCAAACACAAGCAGCTTGTGCCCAGTGACTGGCTTCTGTGTGTACTCACAGCATCTTGTCACCGTGTCAAGCCTGCTCCTCCATGAGCCTACTTTATGGGTGGATTCTGAGTGCTTCATCTGCATCATTGATTAAGTGTGGACGATGATAGCAGCGTTTCTTGGCATATTTTGAAGTTTGGCTGCCAGTACTGCTATGGAAGCAGAAACGAAAGCTTTCTCACCATTGGTTCTAGACACAAAATAAGCTAGAGTGTTAAGGTTGATAGACGTGTATGGCATAAACTCCCAAATTAGACTTCAAAATTGGAATCTATTTAAATAGATTCTACAGTTTAGGCACTGATTTTTTTTTGTTTTAATTGGATGTAACATACATGCAATGAAACACCGCTTCTAGATGTATAATCTGATGGCTTTTGAAAAAATATATTTGTGCATATAACTTATAACCTAATGGACACACAGAGCACGAAGGAAGAGTTTCCCCCAGAGCCCTCCCACTGAATCTCAGATCCCTGGCAAACGCTCCATTATGGTTTCTTTTACCATAGCATGCTACCTGCTTCTGTGTGAGCCTTCTGTCACTGGAATCATACAGAACAGACTTTCAAAATATTGTTTGATGAGAAAGCTTGGATTTGGGAGCCTAAAAACTAAACATTCAAATCCTTACTTCATCTCTTACATCATTCAACCTTTCCTGTTAGTTTTCAAAGAAATTTCATGTAACCTTCTTGAATCTTCTTTTTTTCTTTCTAGATGGTGATAAATGTTTTCTTTTTCCTTCCTGTTTTTGGTGATACTGAGATTTGAACTCAAGACTTCACTAACAGTTATTCTACCACTTGAGCCACACCTCCAGCCCTATATTTCATAGGCTTTTTGTAAAATTCGCCAGGATAATATGGATAAGATGCTTTCAAAGATTATAGAGTGCTTATAAATGTTGCTTACATTGTAAAATCCACATAGTTCTTGTCACCAGTTTTTGGGGCCTTTCATTGACCTTTGTGGTTCAAAGAAAACTCATTGTACCCTGCCTGCTGTTTCTACGCCCGGCTTCTCTTGGAGTCTCTTCCTCCCCTTGTACCATGCTTCCTCAGCCCCTTCCTTCCCTGTGTTACCCAGAGCCCACGCACAGAGATGCTGTAGTGAATCTGCACCTCCCCAGACAGTGGGCCAGGGCAGCTCCAAGTGCTGCCCTGCTCTGCTACCACTTGCTCTCCAGGGATCTGATGCTCAGCCAACTCCTGCCGTTCACAGACTCACCAGGAGCTGATCTCATATATGTGGATAATGCTGTGCTAATACAAATGAAGTGGGTCCTTGGTACCCATACCTATTCATTCAGAATGTACTCTGGAGATTCCTATAGACAACCAACTTTCTACTATATTCCCTGAAGAAAGTCTATCAGGTGAGCTTTGGATTCGCAGTGGGCTAGTCTGGTGACAAGGCTGTGGGTCTGGAGACATTAAGCACTGAATCTGCCTCTAATCTAGCCAAAGATGCTGAGTTAGAGGACGGAGGGATGCAGGTATGCAGGCACACTATCCATTGATAGGTCCTCTACAAACACTTTGGTGATGGCAGGGTGTTGGAGTGGAGAGATGGGAGATCCAGCCGTGATTAGGCAATGAATGGTGAGAACAACACAGAAGTGTATGCCATCGTCATTCTGGATGGAGAACTGGTTTTTGGATGAGGAGAGGGAAGGAAACAGCTTGGGGAGTGAGGAGAGTGAGGGATGCCAGTCAGTGGTCCTCAAAGGAACCTTGTCTTTGGAGATTAAAAGAGAATGCCTAAGGCTGCGCCATCCTGTAGAGCCGGAGCTCTGTGCTGTGGAGGAGTCCTAAACATGTAAGAATGCTACAGTTTCAACTTCAGAAACCTAAGCAGTTTGGCTCTCCTTAGAACAGGGGCCTCTTGCCATGTAGTTGTCTTTTGAGATTTAGCCAGAGCTTTCCATATTTTTTTGTGTTTTAAAAAAAATTTTTATTGTGAAAATACCGAGAGGTTACAATTATATGGGCAAGGTAATGAGTACATTTCTTATTTTGTGTTCTTTAAAATTAAAGCTCAGTGAGTGTCTCATGTGTTAGGCTATAAATACAACTGTGGCCAACATGCAAACAGCATTGACATTTCCTTTTGTTCTAAAGCCTCTCATCTTTTTGTATGGGTTGGATCTAGCCTCTATGTTAGTTGCAGTCTACTGAGACCTCATGTCTTTTGTTCACCTAAAATGCCCTAGGTTGTCTGTGAGCCGATAGGCACCCTGGTTCTCACCAAGTGGAACAGCATCTTCTGGGTCTAGGACTTGTCTCAAACTGGGTCCAGGACCTGTCTCAAACCTACCTGTGGCCTACATAAGGTACAATGACAAACCCATTTTATAGAGGAAGACACTGAGGCTTGGGGATTAAATTCCTTGGCCAAAGTCACACAAAAAAGTTTTAAGAGAAAATTTTAAATTCAGGAAGTTTGATTCCATAGCTTTGGCTCTTACCCTTGTGCTGTTAATAGAATTGAGTTGTTTTTGGTTTGTTTGTTTGTTTTTCTGGTCGGTCATGGGGCTTGAACTCTGGGCCTGGGGCTGTCCCTGAGCTCTTCAACTCAAGACTAGCGCTCTACCAGTTGAGCCAAAGCACCGCTTCTGGTTTTCTGGTGGTTTGTTGGAGATAAAAGTCACATGGACTTTCCTGCCTGGGCTAGATTTGAACCGTGATCCTCAGATCTGAATAGCTAGGATTACAAGTGTGAGCCTCCAGTGCCTGGCATGAGATTTTTTTTTTAATGAGAGAAAAGAATAAGAGGTTGCAGGTGGGGGTTGGAGTTAGAGATCAATGTCAGAATGTCCAAACATGAGAGAACACTGGGTCTCAGGTAGGAAGGACTGGTTGGGGCAGGCGGTTTTAAGAACGAAAGTACAGTGTACTTAAGTAGGCTCTGTTGACATGAGAAGTCAGGTTCAGAGGGTGAGGCAGTCAGGGAGGAGAAAAAATAAGGGGAGGGTAATTGGGGTACACAGAGGTTTTAGCCTTTCTCAGTGGGGCTATCTAGACCAGATAAAGGCAAGAGAGAGCAGAGAACTGGACCAAAGATTAAAGACAAGAGAGAGAAAAGATGGGCACCTTCCTGATAGCCATGCGTAAGAAGGGAAATGATTAGCATCAAATCATGATTAGCATCACATCACGGTGAGAGATCTTTAACTTCACATGGCCTTGCATACTTTGCATGGTGTGACCTTCAGTGTGTCACTACAGCAGAAACCTGTGACTTACAGTAAGCCACAGTCAGTATAAAATAAAGACGGGAACTCCATGGAATTATAATAGCTGGGCTTTGCTCTCAGCATCTTCCTCTTTCCCTGTCCTTTCTGCAAGTGGTGAGTAGTGGCAGTTTGGGGTGTTAAATGCTTGCATACTGTGAGTCCTCTGCTGAGAGTTTCATAAAAGGTCTAAGGTCCAAGTGTAATGGAGCTACAAACGTGTCACAAGTGTGATGAGGTCAGAAATAGTCATCAAATACTGCTCCCGGCCTTTGAGGACACAAGGATAAAAAGAAAAGATTGTGAATAACCAGTCGCTAAAAAGGTGGTTCCCAGAGTGGCGTGGCCTATGAACCTGTCTGTTTCTGATACCCACATCCAACTGCCTCAAAATAATTCCAGAAATACCGCTCTCTGCCTGAGTCTCATTCTATTATTTAACTACAACCCGGTGTAAGTTCATCTAGATGAGAGGGAGGCAAGTTATAGTCTTCAGACTATTTTTGTACAGGCCTTTTTATTTTATTTTTATTGTTTGTGCTAGTACTGGGGCTTGAACTCATGGCCTGGGTGCTGTCCCATAGCTTTTTCACTCAAGGCTGGCACTTTACCACTTAAGCCACATTTCCACTTCTATCTTTCATTTCTTGTGATTAATTGGAGATGAGAGTCTCACCAACTTTTCCTGCTTGGGCTGGCCTTGAACTGTAATCCTCATATCTTAGCCTTCTGAGTAGCTAGGATTACAAGCATGAGCGACCAGCTTCTGGCTGTGCTGATCTTGCTAGCAGTGTTTTTTTAAAAATATTTTTAAAGGATTGTAAAGGAAAGTCAATGAAACATAAGCCCATATGTGGCTTATAAAACCTACAATGTTTATTATCTGACTCTTTACAGAGAAATTTGACCAGGCTAAAAGGACTGTGGAATTAATTTTAAATGTCAATTGTTTATTCTTGTTAAGTATTTGAGTTTGGTCAGTGCAAGCTGCTATGTGAGCAAAGCGAATAACTTTTTGTACAAATTTTGCTGAGGAATTTCTTTACAAATACTTCCCAGCCCCTCAGGCTATTACTTTGAACAATCTTAAATTTAAAGAAAAGTTCTAGAATAATATAAATGATATAATAAAAGGGTAATAGCATGGTTCAAGTGGTAGACAAGTGCCTAACTAGGCCCTGAATTCAAACTCTAATACTGCTTAAATATAATAATTTAGTAATAATAAGATGAATAACTGCATTGCTATACCAAGCATATTAGTAGTAATATCCTCATATCCACAGTTAGTACTAATTATCCTCATTTTGCTATCCCTGAGTGATTTCTTTATGTATGTATTATGTGCATCTCTTTTTTTCCTGAACTAGTTAAAAATAGGTTGCAAATAT